TAGAGTGATTTTAATCTAAATTTATAGATAGGGCTACTCTTGTAATTGATAATAATCTAATAAATTAATACCAAAGTAGTCTTTTTCTTCTATTCTTATTATTTAGAAAAATAAATTATTTTTAAAATTCAACAATTTATCTCCTAAGTCACATGCCTGTTAATTATATTTAAATAATAATATATTATTATTTCTTATAAGAAATAAATTTAAAATGTTATCATATGTTATTTTTACAAAATATAAAAACATTCTAAATTTATCAATAGAGTATTTTATTCCATAATCTTATGTATCATATGAAATTAAAAGTTTCCACCAGACTTCTATTTATTATCATATAGCAATAAAATTAATTAAAAAATGAGAAAAAACAAAAACACAGTAGCATATGAAAATGAGTAAAAAGTGGCGAGTAAGAAAGAATAGCCACTTCTCTCTTTTCTGATATTTTCTCATCTCTCGAGGGAGGGGCCAGGTCTATGATCATGTTTACCTGAGAAAAATAGATTTTTTTATTTATATTTGTATAATTGTTTTTGCCTCATATTTAACCTCTTTTGTTTATAAGGTGATTACAAAAAGTAAAAGAAATAATAAATGATAGAAAAGGGGTCAGTTCTGCAAAGGAGAGAGAGAGACGACAGACAGAGAGGCAACACACACCTATATTGGGAAAAGAGAGAGGAAAAAGAAGAGGGAGGGAATTGAAGAAGCTTTCAATACCATAGAAGAGACAACGATGTCTATGTGCTTTCATACTCTGCAACTCTAACAAGGTCTGCGGTCTGCGGTCTGCCTATATCTACATACACATACATATACGCTCTCTCAACATATTCTTTAAATTTATCTATATATATATACCCGAAGCTGAAAATGATTAGGAGGGTTACAACAAATTCGAAAAGATTGATAAACAAAAACCCATTTCATTAGCTTTCTTTTCATTGTTTTCCTTTCCTTATCTGAGAATTTGATCCTCTTTTCCTTCTTTCTTTTTATGATGGATAACACAGTTTTTTCAAGATGGGTGTTATTTGATTTTTTTTTGTGAGTTATCTTATGGATCCATTTTTAAGCAGCGAAAAAGGTGAAAGGAACGTGTGCTAGAGGGAATCATGAAGAAGAAGATATTGGTATGGGAGTAGCGATTGTTTCTCAGCACTACACCAAGGTTCACCATCAAATTCCAATTCAGGAGGAGCAATAGTTCTACGAAATTCTATGTCCCAAGATTACCACCACCAAGCAGCTGGTATCTTCAGCTTCTCGAATGGCTTCGAGGATCAGCCATAAGCCACCAAGAACAGCAGCAACAGCAATTTCACTTAGCACAACAGATCCGGAGAGATAAACTGAGAGTTCAAGGCTTTGAGCAACCACCTCCGCTATTAGTAGGGATCGAGGAGGAAGAATCAAATGCTCTTCCTGTTTACGAAACACCGGGCATGATATCATCGGAAATCTTCTATTTCCCTTCGGGTGTGGCGGCCACTGCTGCCTCGACCGAGTTATTAGACCAGCCTTTGCAGGCTAATTATCGAGGGCAAAAACCACCGATTAATACCAACGAGTGGTACAGTAACAGGCCAGGTGTTGTTGGGGGTTTGGGACAGTTAGGTGAATCGAAGAGCCACAATAACCGTGACAGTTTAGCTCGACAGCAGTTACCAAGCATTCATGCCGACTCAGCATCTGCCATGCATCTTTTCCTGATGAATCCACAGCCAAGGTCACCGTCTCCTCCTCTCCGTCAAACTTCTCTTCAAGGGTTTAATGTATCGGGTCCGGGAGGGGCTTTTCCACCTCAATTCACTTGGGTTCCCGATAGTTCCCATGAAGGAGGTAACCCAAGTGAAATCGGCGGTTACCGTTGTAGAAGGACAAGGCCTTTCACTCTTTATCATCTTTGCAACACTTGGAAGCCGCAAAAGCTGAAGAATTGAGGATGGGAGCTGGGGGGTTATTGTACATAACCAAGGTGGAGGGTCTTCTGCTACTCCTACCCCTCATTTTCAGTACAAGCATTTGCAAGGTGGAGTGGAACAAAACCATCAGTTTCACGTCGGGTACGGCTCCTCATTAGGAATGGTCAATGTTTTGAGGAATTCAAAGTACGTCAAAGCCGCTCAAGAATTGTTAGAAGAATTCTGTAGTGTGGAAGAGGTCAGTTAAGAAGAAAAACTCGGCAGAAACAACACAAACCTAGTTCTAATCCGGATAGTATTGGCGGCGAAGGATCTTCTTCATCAACAAAGGATCTCCCTGCTTTATCAGCAGCTGATAGATCGAACATCAAAGAAGGAAGGTCAAACTTTATCCATGCTTGATGAGGCATGTAGCCTAATCTCTTTCTCTATTTCCCATCTTATTCTCTCTCCTTCAAGAGTCATTGACCCAATAATCTTTTTTAACCTGTAGTCACCAATTTATTTATTTTCAACAAAGAAAACCCAGATAGAGCAAAGCCGGCTGGTGCAGTCGGGTACTCAAAAGAATCTAGTTGGTAGAGTTTGATTTAAGCCTTTGATTTTTCTATTCCAAAAATCTGGGGCTATTCTTCGGTGGCTCTTAGGCTGGTGCGACGTTTCTTCTATATGGAAGCTGACTATTAACCCACCCATATTACATACAAAACTATAGCGAAGCTACTGCAAATAGAATATTGCAATGAAAGCCATTGAAATATCAGAAGTCGTAGCTTATTTTCCCTTTCTTTTCTATTTTGTTTTTTGTTTAGACACCCAAGCTTGTCATCAATTGGTTGTAGCCTATAATGGGAGAAAGATGGTGTAGGATATTCTTTATTCCCACATCCCCATTAACAATCATTTCACCGCATATCAATCTTTGATTCATGCATATACTTCTTTTGGGCGGGTTTCCTTAAACAGCAACCAAGTAATGTGAAAATGTTTTTTGGGGTTGTAAAATTCTCAAATTGAAACTTGCTATTCTCTTCTTTTCCAATGTCAAGTCATGTCATTTTTCATATTATTATATTTCATCGTGAACTGTGATTAACAACAATGTATAACAATTGATGGTTGCTTGCAGGTGGACCGGAGATACAACAATTACTGTGAACAAATGCAAACGGTGGTTAATCATTGATCTAGTGATGGGCTTTGCTGCCGCAGTGCTTACACCGCCCTCGCTCAGAAGGCGATGTCGAGGCATTTTAGGTGCTTGAAAGACGCCATATCCGGACATTGAAGCGTAGCTGTGAGCTGTTGGGTGAAAAAGATGGTGCTGGAACAGCCGGCATAACCAAAGGGGAGACACCGAGGCTGAGGATGTTAGAACAAAGCTTAAGACAACAAAGAGCATTCCATCAAATGGGAATGATGGAACATGAAGCTTGGAGACCCAAAGGGGCCTGCCTGAACGATCTGTCAACATTTTAAGGGCCTGGCTTTTCGAACATTTTCTCCACCCGTACGTTTTCCTTTTACCTATTATATCTGACACTAGTCCAAACAATAGAATCTGCATATTTCTTAATTTATTGGATACTATTAAAAGTATAGAAAAGGAGCTAAAAGGGTTGAAAGACAAGCTATCATATAATTAAGTTTATGAGATAATGACACATAATAGCCACATAAAATCCAAGTTTTTGTTTCTACTTTGTCATACTTTCGGTCTGTGTTTAGAGAAAACAGTAATGCAGTGTTCTTGGGATGCATGTCTCGTCAGCCAAAAAGTTCAAAACCTTCATTTCTCTCTTTACTTGGTCAATCAAAAACCGAGCAATTCGTATTCAAAAAAAGGACAACTTATTTAAGCATCATATCACAGATGACATGCCTTCTGAACCTTTTTTTAACTGTTCATATTGTCATTTTTATTCATCCTTTCTGCTGTTAATAAAAGTTACTGTGTTGATAAAAAAAGTTACTGTCGTCTTCTTTACTTGTGCAAACTGCTGCTGGTGTGTGTGATGATCTTTCTTTCTCTTGGATTCTCGCGCCCATGCATGGTAAATAAGGAAAGGTTCAATCGCATCTATGGTGATATACAAGGGGGTTGTCTCTTTAACGGTTTTAGGCAATAGCTCTGATATCATTCACTGGTCTCTTTCTCAGGTACCCAAGCGATGCGGATAAGCATCTACTGGCTCGACAGACTGGCTTATCGAGAAATCAGTTGGTCTTTTCTTTCACTTTCACTGCATAATATTACTGACAAATAGAGACGTATAAATTGCTAAATACTGAATGGGGAAAAACTTAGCAGATGATTATATTTAAAAGGCGAGATAAAGTACGCAATAGATGAAACATAAAGTTTGCCACTTTCTCTCTCATATCAAATACTCAGTATGACACCTCTAACCACATCATAAAGCTCCATAATACATTACTAATTTGAAGAGTTTGGTTATAATTAAGACTAATTAGAATCTGGTAAGATTGTGAGTCAAGTGTTAGTTAAAGATGGGTAATTCTTAGTCAGTTAGGTTTTTCTTTTTACAGTATTTTAGTTGCATGGAAGGCAAATGAAAGAAAAACGTGGGGGCAGCCAAGTGCGATAGGAAAGAAACATAATTCTAATTCTATGTCTTTTATGATTTATAATGGGTATAAATACAGCGATTGGAGGTCCCCCCATAATCACTGCTTTTGGAGTCTTTTATGATTTATAACTGGGTAATAAATACAGCGATTGGAGGTCCCCCCAATAATCACTGCTTTTTGGAGCTTTCTGTAAGAAGCAGACATCATTCAGCAACATGAGAGGAAAGATATTATAGCTAGCTGATGAATAGTCCCCCTTAATTATTTATTACTTATTGTTTCTTGGGGTCCCTTTTTGGACTGGTTCATAATGTGGAACATTAATCTAATGACGTTGGAACCACTTATTTAGTTATTTAAGTTAAATTACACAGTTTATAATATGCATGATTTGGTATGTAATGGGTATCATAATTTGTTTGTCTTTAATTGTCTGGGATTTTAAATGCATTGTAATGAAGATGATGTTTTTTCAGGTTTCAAATTGGTTCATAAATGCCAGGGTTCGGTTGTGGAAACCTATGGTGGAAGACATGTACCAGCAAGAGTCTAAAGAAGAAGAGGGGGATAATAAAGAAAGGAACGTAAAGGACAACAACAATATTGCACAAACATCAACGCCTTCAACAGCCACAGTATGCGTGGCAGGTGGCACATTAACATCACTGCTACCACCACCTCCTACAGCTTCTACAACGACGGCAGCGGCAGACAAAAGATCCGAAATAAATGCCATCGAAAACGACCCTTCACTCATCGCAATCAGTAAACAATGCTTCTCGGAAAAACAAAAAACCAACACCACCATTAGTAGTGTTCCTCCCACCACCGCCACTACCACTACCACTACTAATAATACCTCAACCGCCAACACCACGGCAACGGAGGTGGCGCCACCCATCTCCCAGCCTTTCACCACCACAACCCCTCATGACTCGGATATCCACCAAAGATTATTAGCTGGCTTCGATGACACATGTCATCGTGGCAGCAGCATCGTTGCAGCAGCAGATTATGGGACCATCGCTGGTAACACTGACATTGGTTCAACTCTCATAAGGTTCGGGACCACGGCTAGTGATGTTTCTCTCACTCTAGGGCTACGCCATGCTGGGAACATGCCCGATAAGGCTTCTTCTTTCTCGGTTACAGAATTTGGGGGCTGTTAGTTTCAATCACATATTCCATAGTATTCTCTTGAAATAGAAAAACAAAATTAATCCCATTCTCATTCCTTTTTATAATAATTGTATAGTAGTTTGCTTTTACTATATAAATATAAGATTTTGTACCTTTATGTAACTTGGAAATATTCATGTTTTTGAGGGATAGAAAGGGAGACATATGATTAGAACTGCTCTTTTAATTGTTAGGTATTGGAAGATGATAGATTATCCTATATGTTCTTCCATTTTTGTTGTTTATGCTATAACAACAAACATATGCTGGCTATTTATCACGTACCTTTTATATATACATGAAACCAACACATACTACATGCACAACCTTTTTGGGTTATGTATTACTGAGACCAGTGATAGCAACAATATATGCGTGAAATAGGTGTCGCATACAATCACGTGGTGTAACTGCAACCTGTGGACTGCAAATGATGAACTGAATTTAAGGCACGTCCATTTTGGTCACCTTAGTTAGGTATGAACATTGTTTGTATTAATGATTTTATCATTTCCAATGCCTTTCATCTACGTTAAATTCTACTGTGCATTCTTCTTGAGTGTCTGCTCAGTGGGAGACTGTTTAACCTTACTTCAACTATTGCAGAACCTTTTTTTTTTACTTTTTAAATTCACGAAACGAAAAGATATAATCGTTGATTTTTGAATTTCAGATATATTATAATGTATCTTTCAATGATGGTTGAATGTTTCAAATTTTTTGTAATTAATTATGTTATTTTTTATATTTTATAAATTTATATTTTGGGTTTGAATTTGATTTATATTCAAATTCATAATATTCTTTCTAATAATAATCAAAACAGTAGATGTAGTGGCTTGAATTCAAAATCATGAGAAAAAACAACACTATCGCCATTAACTTGCTTAGGAATAAATATGCTTTGGAAAAAAAAGTTATTATCTTCTCAGAAATTAAGCCTTTGAAAAGCAGTGCAAACTGCCCCTAAAGTAATCTTTGTTAACCTAAACTTGTTCTCGAATTATTTTAGTCCCTCCCCAAACTACTACAAAGAGTGTGTCAAAACTAGTACTATTTGTGACTCATCGTATATTTGAATTAGAACCGAAGAGAAGTGCATTTTAAATCAGCGAATTCTTGCAGGACTCTCAGGAGACATTGTCATTACATAATGATTCTTTGCTTGGTCGGTTGACTGGAGAAATGACAATGACAAAGAAAACGAAAGAGTGTAAAAAAAGTGACAGTAGCCATTGTTTTACCCAGAAAGAGATTGACTGGTATAAGTCGTTGTTAATATACACTCCGATTCTCCAACCCAATTTACACACTGTGTAATGCCCTACTAGCTAAGCAGACTGATAGGTTTTGTTATTGTTACTGCAAAAGTGTTATCATGATTTTTCATTATTTTCTGTACCCTAGATATGGAATACATATCATACCAACACTAACAATATGGAAAGAAAAAAGTTGGGTCTTGATTCCTTGGAATCCAAAACAATAATATGCAAAGCAACAAGTACATTTTACCTAATACGTTGCTTTTCCTTTGAGAAGCAATATATAAACACACATCTCCACATTTGGATTCACCAATTGTTTGTTCTGCTGCAACCATCAGTTCCATTTTAATCCACGATACGTATAATTTCATGGGTGAAAAATCAGTTTTTTTGGACAAAAAAGGATTTAAAATAATCAATAAAAAGGGAGTTTTGATATGATATTCCAGCTGCTAAAATAACGGCAAAATCAATGAGATAATGCTCTTGAAGTTTTTATTTCACGAGATAATGCAGTGCTCAGATTAAGTGCTCAGATTAAGTGTTCAAATGGGGTAAATTCTACAGTGATTGCCGTAGGTCGCCATGCCATCCGGGTGACCTACAATGTGGCAGCATCCAGACGAACCAGCATAGGTCGTCATGCACGCCCGGCGTCCAACATTCTCGTGATTCTCTTTCCTGTGCATGGGCCATGCACGTGGGGTGTAGGTCGAGTCCGGCGACATGGTAGGTCGCCATGGAGTCCCGGTGACCAAGCTTTGTAAGATTCCTCTACCTGGGAGATTCCTGCATCGCGACCAAGCTTTAACCCTATCCCTCATGCATGCATTGCATCCATAGCTGGGAGATTCCTGCATCGGTAGCTGCATGCGTTGTATCCATATCTGCATTATTACAGCGTTAATTTAGCTGCTAAATGCAACAAATATTGTTGTTCAATTGCAGTCTTTCAATGCTCAATAGTTATACGATTCAATGTTAATATTATTTTCTTCAACAGTCAAATTTAATGACTCTGCCCAACGTTTTTTTGCTTTATATAAAGGATATAGGGTTTAGGGTAGAAGCAGAAGCAAATCCAGGAGCATAAGCATAAGCACATATAAACTTTGCGGAGAGAAAGAAAAGGAAGAAGAAGAAAAGAAGATAAAGGATCAAACATAGTTCGTGAGGTAATTTTTTATTGTTTAATTTAGTTTATCATATGAAATTATTAGTTTGTTAGTTTAGGGTTTAGGGTAAAACTAAAATCTAGTTAATTAGTTTGTTAGTATAAATTATTAGTTTTTTAGTTTAAATTATATTATATATTTTTTTAAGTTATATATTATATTATATAAAAAATTAGTTAATTAGTTTATTAGTTTAAGTTATTAAATATAAAAAAATATTAATTAATTTGTTAGTGTCTTTAAAAGTATATTAGGTTGTTCTTTGAAGTTGAAGTTATATTATAAAAAAAAATTAATTAGTGCTTAATTAATTTATTATTTTAACTAAACTTATATTATAATAAAGAAATAGTTTATTAGTTTAAGTTATATTATAATATTAGATTATTAAAATTAATTGTGGGAGCTATTGTTGTTTAAATAAATTAAACGGTTTACACATACAGAGCATTATTCCACAACATTTGCCCACGTACAGATTGATTCGAAGAAAGAAACAAAGAAGGAAAAGAAAGGAAATGAAGAAGGCATAAATACGTGAGTAATTTATTATTTTTGTTGTTGTGTATATGTAAATTAGTTAGTTAGTATGTTTATATTAGATTATATAAACTAATTTGTGTGAAATAATTTCCGTTTAAAAAAATATTGTGTTTAAAAATATTTAGTGTTGTTTAAAAAAAATATTTTGTTTAATTTATATTGTATGTGTAAATTAGTAAGGAGTAAAAATTAATTGAATGAAATAATCTGGCCAACGCATTATCACGATATTTTGCTTAATAAATTTGTTTGATATTTTTAAAAAATAAAAAATAATATCAAACTAATCATGATTATTAGTAATAATTACTAAATGATTAGTATCAAATCTAAATCATTAAATATTTATAATAAATAATTATTAGTAATCATGACTAAATCATATTATTATTAAATCATTAAATATCAAATATTAGATTAATAATAATTATTAAATCATTATTAGTAATATTAGTAATCAATCAATCAATCAAGTTAAATAACAAATTTTATTTTGATCATTAATATAATAGTATATTATATTATATTTAATGATTTAATGTTTTATGAAATTATCTTATCTAATATTTTAATCTAAATTAATTTATTTTTTTTATTTGTAGAGAAAATGAGCAACTCAGATTAATTGCTCAAATGGGGTAAATTCTACAGTGATGGCCGTAGGTCGCCATGTCATTTGGGCGACCTACGACGTGGCAGCATCCAGACGAACCAGCATAGGTCGCCATGCACTCCCGACGTCCTTATAGGTCGCCATGCACGCCCGACGTCCTTATAGGTCGCCATGCACGCCCGGCATCCAACGTTCTCGTGATTCTGCTACTCTACCCGGCTGCTGCTCTGCTTTGGTGCTATGCATGGGTCATGCACGGGGCATGGGATAGGTCGTCAAGCTTTGTTCACGTGGTCTTCTCTCGGCAAACCTCTACTCGCATGCAGCGTGAATTCAGCTGCATTATTGCAGCACTTATTGATGCATTATTGCAGCCCTTATTGCTGCATTATTGCAGCCCTTATTGCTGCATTATTGCAGTCCTTCAGCTCACGTGAATGGCCCATGCAAAGGTGAATAATTGAAGCAAACGGGGTGGTTGTATTATATATTGGATGGGGGTTAATGAGTTAAACATAAAAGAACGAAAGGGAGAAGAGAGCAAGGGAAAAGAGGAAGAAGAAGAAAGGGAGAGCACAACATCGAGGTAAGTTTTTAATTATTTAAATTAGTTTTTATTTTAAATTATTAGTTTGTTAGTTTATGGTTTAATGGTTTACAACATTTTAGTTAGTTCGTTTAAGGTAAAACAAAATTTTAATTAAATTAGTTTGCTTGATGGTTATATTATTGTTAGTTTAAGTTATATCATACATAAATATAAAATTATTTAATTAGTTTGTTTAATGGTTATATATTAAAAAAATAATTAATTAGTGTGTTAGTTAGTCTAATTTTTAATTAGTTTGTAGTTAGTTAAATAGTTAAGTTATATTTTGGTTGTTGAATTTATATTATATAAAAAAAATAGTTAATTAGTTTAAGTTATATAAAATAATTATTTAAATAAGTTATTGTATAATTATTAGTTAATTAGTTTATTATATAAAATAGGGTAACACAAAAATTAGTTAATTAGTTTGGTAGTTTAAGTTATATTATTGTTAGTTTAAGTTATACATATAGAAATAAAAAATTATTTAATTAGTATGTTTGATAGTTACATTTAATAAAATAATTAGTTAGTTTGTTAGTCGTTAGTTATATAAAAAAATATGTAATTAGTTTGTGTTAATTAAATAAGTTTATATTTGTTTGTTGAATTTATATATATAAAATTAGTTAATTAGTTTTTAGTAATAAATTATAATTAAAAATCATTTATTAGTTTAAGTTATATTAAAAAATAGTTTATAGTTAAAGTTTAGTAAAATAGTTAAAGTTATTATTAAAAATAGTTTATTAGTTGTTTAAGGTTAAAGGAAAATTTACGTTAACTTATATTTTAAAAAGTTTAGTTTGTTAGTTTATTGGTTTAATATATATAAGTTATTATATAAATTTTTTTGTTGTGTTGTAAAATTAGTTAGTTAGATTATATTAGTTATATTAAATGATTTTTTACATTATTGTTTACTTTTTTTACAGATTCATTCCAATGGCTGACCAAATTCACTGCTGAAACCTGACAATGAACATATTTCAAGTCATTGGGAATAATGGTGAATAAAATATTTGTT